ATCTGATTTCCAGTGCCTCAAACCTATGTACCTCATTCTAGAACAAAGTTTGTTATTAAAACTGAAAATAAGATCAGACCTGAAACAACTTGCCTTGCAATCTCCCTCCAGGCTGCAAGAAGGTTTTGAACAATGCCTGCATATTATATACCACTTAAAGCTTCTTTGAATATGCTTTTCTCTGTGCTGTGTTTTTATTTCTCATTAGATATAGCCCTATAAGAAATAGTTTACTTAAACTCTAAATCGAAGATCCACCTATTTTCTGTTTTCTAGTACATCAGATATCTTATCAAGAGAAAAATATTTCTTTAGATTAGTGGATTTTACCCAGCTTCTATTTCATCCCAGTTTTTACTTACTTTCAAGCTCTTAATGATTCTTTCAAAATAATATTGTACAGCATTGCATGTTAGTGAGTTCAGACTAAAGGGTCTAATTTACTAGATGACTCTCTTATCTGTCATTTTCATCCATTTCACTAGAAGTGCTACCTTTACCAAACTGTCAGTGCCATGGTGTTTGCTTTCCAGTTCATAAGCTTTATTATAAATCTGGCTATTTGACCTGTTTTCACAATTAGCTCAGTCACAGATCAAGGATAGAGATTATCCAGCACCCTAAATTAACCACACAAAACTCAATGAATTTGACTATCTATTGTGATAGTAATACTTTTATCCTTCATATCGCAGTTCCTCCTAGAGTCTTTTTCCTTTCCAATGTCAAATATAATCATCATCACTGAATAATAAAGCAAATAATTCTTCCAGTTTGAAAGTCATACCCAGCTACCTTTTATTCCTACTGTGTCCTATCTGCATAGTAATTATAACCTTTTATTATAGTCTTTCTTCTCTATTTACTTCAAAGTGGTTTTTAATTATTATTTTATACATATACATATATTCATATATATACACACACATATAAAAGCACATGTATATGTAAAAACATAAGCTTGACTTTTGGAAATTTTTCAGATTTTACTGCACCCATAATTATTTTTGTATGAAAATGTACCTAAAAAAAAAAATTCTATTTTCAACATCTAGTGATAAGATTAAGCAAACAAGTTTCTGTCAATATACATGCCCAAACAAAGAAATTGTGAAATTATGAAATTATGAAAAATGGCAATTATTTCCACTATATTAAAGACAGGACACCATGAAAGTGACTAGAATCTGACATCATTAAAACAACATAGGAAAGAAACTGTGCTTTATTACTCTTCTTATCTCCCTTTCAATGAAGTTTGGTTTATTATTTGATTTCTGGGTTAAAATAAATGAACAATCCAAATGCTTTTTTCACTCTCAGCCTGCTCAGATGACTAATATGTTAATGTCAAAACTCCTTTCTGATGCATCCTCTGGCTCTAGGATATATACTTTATAGAATATATACTTTACCCTATTAGTAAACCACTCCCTAAATGCCACAAAAGGTGTCTCTTACAAACCATCAGACAACTCTGAGTGAAGCAGACCTCCTGTGCAAGATATGTGTATTTTTAATTCTTATAAGAGGTAAAGTAGGATCCTACTAGCTTAGGTGGTTCCTTGCTGCTCGATCAATTTTCACCTCTATGCCCAGCATTATATTGCAGGATTAGTTGATAGTTAATGGTATGTGAGGCTTGACATAGAAAAAAAACTATTAAAGTTGATCTTGCAGTTATCCCTGGAGAATAACAACAAATTAATTTATCCCCTTATTAAGGAGGTTATTGAGGGCAAAGCTATCTGCATTTAACTACTGTCTGTCTCTTTTCTGCATGGATATTACCTATTAGTGCACCATGTTTTAATGTATTATTAGCCTAAAATCAATATTTGGGGATTATATTAACAGTTTAGTTTCCCTCACTGTGTTTCTGAGAGAAAAAGTAGTGAGAGAAATATGAAGATTAAATTATTAAGATATAATTCATCTTCCTGATTCTAATGCATGATTCTTTTATGCTGCTTATCCCAACTAATGAAAGTCAGCTTTAATTAGTTTTTGGGATTTGACACAAAAGCTTTCACAAAGGACTGTATAAAAACATTTTCTGAAAGCAAAACCTTGCTAGCTATTATTTGAAAATGCAAGAAAGGAGAAAGATGTGACCAAAGTGGTGGACACATAGGAAGGAAATACATTAGAAATCAACTGAATTTTATTTTTACACAACATGTTTTTAATAGTAAATTTAGGTAATTTTCTCTGTATGAAAACCACAAAATCTGGCTATAGAACAAAGAGTGGTTGAGTCAAAGTTTAGATATGTAACACTGATATCTGACCTTTACTTTTTGTCTCCCTGTCCAGAAAAGATTAAGCTAAAAACCCTGGAAATAATATGAGCCTTGTGGGTATCAAAATCTGTCCAAATTTTCTAGTTATGTTTCACTGACAGCAATCAAGGTGGTCAGTATTCCATTTCTTTTCAGTAGTGGATTGTTTTACCAATGCTATGAATAGTTTTTCAGCATATTTTATTTTGAAGAGAAATAAAAAAAAAAATCTGATGTCTGAGGTTTATTATCTGACCACAAATATGTATTCCAATATGAAAATTATGGTATGATTTATATTTTAATAAAAATCTAATGTATATTCTATTAACTTCAGCCCTGTATATAATTATTTTGATAGCCAATTATACTTGCTATCAAATTGCATTCAAGTTTGTCCACTGAAAAGAATGACCTTTAATCTTAATTCAGCAAACTCTCTACTGTCCCATGCTACCATTAATTTTAAATGTCCAAAGGTACAGTGATGCAGGGACTCAGAGAAATACTCTATGTCATTTTAGGACTGCCAGAATTGGACAGTTTGGGACGTTTATACTAAAACAAGAAAAGCACTAGGGCCCAGAGCAGACCACTGGAAGTCAATAATCCATACAGTTAAATATCTGAGTCAATTGAGAGCCAGTCACAACTCCTACAAACAATTTGCACTATTTGGAGGGTTGCACGAGTCAAAGACCATTCCCTCTTGGCATTTAGGATGCAACTATTCTGTTTCGGAGGATAAGATGATTTTACAATATCAGTGTGATTGTATCAATTGAATCTGAGCCTGGAGAATGGGTTCTAACATTTTTTATTTCTGTGACAGAGGCACCTTCTGAGGTCACAGGGGCTGTGACCTACTTATTGTGATCTGTCTAACTGTATTTTGCTACCAGAAAATAACACAACCCTGTAATTATTTATAGTTCTTTCAAGATACAAGGTTAAAAAGGTTGTGTAGATTATATCTGCTACAAAGATTCATGCCAACAGCCAAGAAATCATTGTTCTAATATTAATTGTCACCCTTTTAAAATTACTAAATTGACTTGAGAGTTTTCAAAAAGAATATCACTGAATCCCAAATAATATATAAGAGCACATAAGTACAAAAACTTGCAGAACACAATATGGACTGAATATATTAAGAATAAAATCACTTATACATTAGCTAACCTTGTATGACCAAAGAGCAAGGGTTTCTGGTTCATCAATTGTTTTAACAAAAAGTTTGGGTTACATTCATTATTAATGAAAGGGCAGAAAGTTGAACGGGAGATGCTTACTAATTTAAGTCCACTTTTGAAAAATAAGATGAAGGAATGGTGGAGCTGAAAAAATTAGGCAACAGTAGGAATTGTGGAAATGAATAAAGACAAAAGATCAAAAGGGTCAATGTCCCATGCATAAATTTCAGAACCAAAACAAGATGATTTTATCCCTCCTTAAATTAATCCTGAAGACACAGGGTTATCTGTTTTACCATACATTTTTGGTCTGTTAATATTATTTAATGATTTAAAAAAAAGTAGATAAAGCAGTGTTTCCATGTTCTTTTGAACACAAAAAGTTCCAGTCTCTTACCCAAATTTTTGGTACCCTGAAAAAAGAAAAGCTTTTTATGTTTCCACTTTGATTTCTGCTGAGCTCCTTCTGATTAGAGACCATATCACCTTGGTGGTTATCACCAATAACTGCCTTTATAATTACTTTCCACAAAGGACTGGCAGGAGTCTTGCAAGGGGAGATTTTTTAAGATAAAAATCTAGTGAGTAGGATCCTCTGGAAGACCCCAAAGCTATACATTACTATAAAATGTTTAGTGTAAATAATCAAACACAATATTTTACTTCATACGCTCCACGTACAATAGTCAAACTTGTCCACAGGGGCAGATTCCTGCAAGTGATTTCTGCAATATCCTAAATGCCTTTGCAAATGTAGGTAAGAGCATATAACCATGCTTTTCTATATCAACTAATTAAGGAAGGATCTTTGATTTTCTGTGATTGTCACATATTCTCATATATATAAATCACAGATCAGTATTTACCAGTGCACATATGCACTTCAAAAAGAAAAAAAAAGCTTTCACTATAAACTTTGCTAAATTTTCTCTTGGTCTACAAATGTTTTTTACAGTAAGTTTTTAACTTGATCTTTTACAATTTATTTATTTCTCCACTTTTGTGACTATATGTCCAGAAAACTTTGGATTTTTTACATTTACAAATGTACCTTCCATTGTTAATGGATTTTGAAAAATGTATGTGTAGCATTCAAACAAACCCAACCACCCAGAAACACCACTCGATGGAAAATTGGGAAGAGTTTACTTTTATTTGGCTTATGTATTTTGTAACAGCTCATTAAAAAAAAAATAAAACTCTGGGTCTGATGCTATTGAACAGTACTGTGCATGTTTGACCTTAAAAATGCCTGAATATTCCAGTCTCTAGGTAAAATATACTTCTCTAGGATTCTGCTATTGGAGAAAGGTCATAAAAAGTAATGTATTTTACATTTTGTGTGATAGGATTTTGTGTGGTTTTTTTGACTAGTTAGAACAAACTAGAGTCTACCAGTGTTCTGGATATGTATGAGTCATTAAATAGGTAGTATATATTAATGTACAGATATTCTGCTTTTAATCCAGACTTAATTATTTTTGAGAATATTTGATTTTAAAAAAACTTTTTTAACAACACCTACTTGAGGTCTTGGGAAGGTTCTGCTCTGATATGGGGTGTCTCCACAGAGTGCCCAAACACTGCCCCTTCTGTGCCTAAAATACATAAATAAAACACAGTACAATTACTTTGGAAAATAAAAACACATTGAAATATATGACCACAAATTGTCACTTTTAGGACAAATATCTGAACAAATCCTTTATTAATGGTTATGAATGTTTCTTCATATTTATGTTTTCACTTATATATAAAAATCTGGACCAAATTCATGTGCAACTTTAGACTTCTGCCAGTCAGCATATGAATTTCACACACAAATCTGAAAACACTTATAGATACAAATTTTTCAGCAACAATTTGCCTGAATACTTATCTTAACACTTTGTAGAATGGTTGTTTTACAGAAAATGAAAATAATATCACAGGTTTCTGTGAAAAAAACACATTAGAGAAATACCTGCTGTATTTTGCATTATGGTTATTTTTATTACTTAAATTGAGATGCCAAGCCTTCAAAACTTTTGAAATAACAGTCTACTCCCAGAAGTTGCTGGCTGAATAGCAATATCTGACAGTTTCAGAATTTCCTTCCATCAGACCTTTCTATTGAAAAGCTTTATTCTCAAAGAAATTAAAGAAACTTCTCTGGAATATGTTTTGGATTTAGTGTTGGTAATGGGCACTAAAGTATCTCCTGCTGGGCACTCAAAATCAAGGTAATGAAAATTGGTAACAATTTCTTAAAACTGAATTGATTATCTATCAAATTTTGATTTCTATAACTATGTCCCAGTTGAAAAAGATAATTCTGTATCTTTAATTAGACAACCAAGATTTTTCATTAAAAACTCCTTTTCAATGAAAAATAAAACATTCTGGTAAATTTTCAAGGAAGTTATTTGAACAAAAGACAGATGTTTAAATAATCCATTTTAAATGCATTTTTAAAGGAAAATGGAAAAAAAGACAAAAATAATAATTATCTGATTACAGCAGGTTCTTTAATAATAATAAACTCAAGAAATTGATACATAATGAACAGCACTATAAAATCAGCATTTCTCTTAACTCTCAGATGCAAGGTCTGAACACACAGAAGTGTTCACTCAATTTATACTTAATAGATAGCACTAGCCTACCTATGTTCTTAGGCATTCAAACTTTGTCTTCTTTTTTTCCCCCCAAACTATCACCATGCCTGGTTTTGTTTACTGATTTGCCCAATGCCATTATTTTTGTTGTCCATAAACTTTACATAAACTTCACTTTCCTTCCCTGAAGACAGTGTACTGGTGTGCTGGTTTCAGCAGGGGTAGAATTAACTTTTTTCACAGTGGCTCATAAGGGTCTGTGTTTTGGATTTATGTTGAACACGTTGTTGATAATACAGAGATGTTTCTAGTATTGCTGGGCAGTGCTTACATGGAGCCAAGGCCTTTTCTGCTTTTCATACTGCCACACTGGTGAGGAAGCTGGGAGGCTGGGAAAAAACACAGCCAGGACCGGTGACCTAAACTGACCAAAGGAATATTTCACACCAAATGTCATTATGCTCAGTATATAAAGTGCAGGGAAGAAGGAATAAGGGCTGGGGGGACTTTTGGAGTGATGGTGTTTGTCTTCCCAAGTCACTGTTAGACATGATGGGGCCCTGCTCTCCTGGGGATGGCTGAACACCTGCTTGCCCATAGAAGTAGCGAACGAATTCCTTGTTTTGCTTTGCTTGTGTGTGAGGCTTTTGTTTTCCCCATTAAACTGTCTTTATCTCAACCCATGAGTTTTCTCACTTTTTCCCTTCTGATTCTCTTCTTGATCCTGCTGGCGAGAGAGTGAGAGGCTGTGTGGGGCTTGGTGGCTGGCTGGGGTTAAACCACAATAACTGGGCATTGTGTAATGCAAATAGCATAAAACTGTTGAGTGAAGGTCTTTCCAACAGAGAATCGCCAGCAAAGGTGAAAGAACTGAATAATAATGTGCAAAACAGATAATGCATTTATCTTCTATCAAAATGAAATCAAGGAAACTGTCTGGGATAATTACAATTGATTCTGGGATTAATTGCCATATTTCAACAACAGAAGCTTTCTTGTGTTTACAGCCTTGAATTCTGAGTAAATCTAAAAATATACCTACAGTATCTCACAGTAGCTGTGCAAGAAGAGCTCAATATAACAGAGGCACCACTATAATTACTACGATATTTTAAAAGCATAAAGCATTTTCAATTATTTAAGTATTTAAATATTTCACAAGTTTGGTAGTTTTTTCAGAAATTTGGCTGTCCATGGAGATTGTTATTTAGATATTTTTGCAGTTAACATATAATATTTAGTTAACTGATCTTTGATCTTACCAGGATTTGAAAGCAGAATGAGCTTATAAATGTTGAATTGATAATATCATTTTACAGTGTTAAAACTGTTCTTGCCTGAGCAAGAAGCCAAAAAAAATCTGAGTTAACTTTAAACCGTTAATAATTTTCTAAACTCTACCTTCATTAAAAAAAAAAAACGTAACCAACCCACAAAAACCCAAAGCAAAACAAGCAAACAAACCAAACAAACAAACAAACAAATCTTCATTGTAAAATGGTGTACTAATATGGAGTATCAGAGAGAGGAAGAGAGGATTTCTGAGAGTAATTAATTACATTTCTAGTTTTGTATGTCCAGAGATCTATAACCTTTACAAATATCTTGGCAAAGAACATTGGAAACAATTTTATTACAGGTGTTCCTTTGAAGATCTCACAAAGAAACTAACAAAATCCACTGTCTAAAACCAAACTTTGCTGAGTGTTATGGAGAATCACAGGAAGGAAAAAAACCCAGCATCTATTTTTTCCTAAAAATATGTATAGAGGTGCTGTGCAGAATAATTTTTTTAAATCTGACATTGACTTGTGATTCTCCCACCTTTAACAGACAGGAATAGCATGTCTGCATAGCCAGGCCTTTTGTCACTCAAAGTAAATCTCAACCTCATCCATAATGAAACTCTACAGGACCTGAACATCCAAAATCAGAGTGTGCTTCCAGATCCCATTCATCTTTCTCATCAGGAAAATTAAATGCTTTCAAAGCCAAAGGCTTTTTATATTTTTAAAGGTGACAGTGGGATTTGAAGATGTAAATAACCGAGCGGAATGCAGAGTTGCCAGTCTTTACTTAATGAGAAAACCAAGTCTGTAACGTTTGAAAGAGCATTATCAAAGCAAAGATGCACAAAACATCACCGTACTATGAGTCAGACACTAAATCAACCAGAAGTATTAAAGATAATATCAGGAAAAAACTGATAACAAAAGTTAAATGACAGCTCATTCTAAATGAGCTTTAGTTTTTTCTCAGTTTGGGCAGCATTTTTAAAAGACAAGAAGGCAATTCTCTCCAAAGAAACTATACATTTGGAAAGAAAGACCAAGTTTGTCCAAGTAGACTGGAAATACAGGCATGTGGAGTTACAGATAAACTCATATAATTAAATAAAATATAATTAAAGCTAAAACCAAACCAAATGTGCTCCTTGTGCTATTTGAAGATGCAATCCTTAATATGTTTTTTTATCTCATACAACCTCAAAAGTGGAAGTATAACAGTCCTCGTGGCAAATGCTTTATCCTTAAAAAAAATGCTTTCAACAGCTTCAAGAATATTTCCAAATATAATATTCTTTTTTCAATTTACTGTATGCAAATCTGTAGTACTTTGACAGGAAGTTAGATTATGCAGTTCAGTACTTTTAGGAAATGGTACTATGAAAATGCCTTTTAATGAATAATAAATATTACAATATAAATCCAGATTCAAAGTGAATATCATGATTCTTTTTAATGAAAGAAATATACTTCAGGTATTTAATAATTTACAATGTTTAAATTCTTATTTTTTACACAAATAAGAGAGGATTCTATTAACTGTATTCCCTTACTCACAGAATTATAAGCAAGACCTACTTTGAGATGAGTGAAATTCTAGTGAGACATGAAATGTGCAACATAAAGAATAAAAAGAAAAGAATTGAACCTTCAAGTTCTTTCAAGTACAGCTCAAAAGGAAGTAGTTAGGGAACTGAATTCAAAGGAACACGAGTTGGAGTGGATAACTACAAAAAGTGAATCTTTTAGAGGAAATAAAACAGCAAGAGCATGGAGTAGGTGCAAAGGATGTGAAATCAAAACCATAAGTGTAACTGAATAAAATTACTGACACCTCCAGCTTCCATTGGAAGAGAATAAGTCGAGTGAAGACTACACTATGAAAGAAGCATCTGTACAGGCAAACTACTTATGAAAGAATGTCAGTTGTTATAGAGGTTGGTAGAGAAAACTCAGTAAGTAGCCTGAATGAGGGAAAAAGGTCAAAAGTTCAATTATGCGTTTATAGAGAAACCTCTTTATGCTTAGCTGATTTATGAACACCAAACCTTTAAAATTACTCTTCTTTGGCACAGAGCAAATCAAAATTACCATTTCACAACAGTTACATGTTCCTGCTGAAACTGAATATTCAGAATTGAAAGATACCATGCAAACTACTAATTTCTGCTCAGTTTGCTGGTTCTTGAAATACAGCCTTTGGGAAATGGTAAGTTTCATAAAAACAATGGAAGTACAATGTTGGCATTTGGTTCTGGGTTATATTTGTTTATGTATGTGCATGTTGAGGAAATTTTGTCAATTTTTTAATCAGTAAATTATCCTTTCATAGTTTATGAGTAGTTAGATTACATAACAAAATGGTACCTTTCAGAGGATTTATAACCCACTTGGATGAAAAGACTGTCACCTGAGGTTTTTTGTTTGTTTGTTTGTTTATGTGTTTTTTGGTTGTTTGGTTGGTTGGGGTTTTTTTGTTGTTTTTTGTTTTGTTTTGTTTTGTTTTTTTGGTTTTTGTTTGTTTGTTTGTTTGTTTATTTTGGTTTTGTTTTGTTAAAAGAATGCTGGTTAAAGAGTCGATAAGCTAAGAATTAATTATTTTGCTGTGGAAAATGACCCATGTATTACCATTATCTGACTCCTTCACATCTTTCTTGAAAGCAAATCACATCTACTGACAATGGAATTGTTACCATTTTGATGTGTACAAACCAG